TTTCGCCCCTTTATCTTAGATTTCATGGTGAAGCGTCTTCTTCGTTCCCAATGCAGTGGAAAAAGTGCAACGTTCCCAATGCAGTGGAAAAAGTGCAACAACCTATTACTCCATCCTCATTGCATCCACCATTGCTTGAGCTTTTCAAACATAAATCTTCTTCTTCTTCTTATATCATTGCCGCTTAGGTCCCATTACTAAGAAGACTTTTATTTGTGCACGCCCATTGCAAGAGAGGTCGTTCCTAGCAAGACTTGTCGCTTATTCCTTTACTCAGCCATTCATGGCTCAAGGAGTCATCATTAATCTTCAACCCGTACGCAGTCACTAGTCCTTTCTCACCTAACTAAAAATGACTCTCTGCATTTTGGGGGTGGATGCTCCTTCGATCCCACTTCAAAGCCGCCCCAACATTACGAGTTAACAACATGTACGACAACTTTTACTGTTTTACTATCTCAAAACTATCTCCTCATTCTCCAGACTTCTGGTAATACCAAAAATATTCATAATAGCATAAAATACTAAACATGAAGCTTAACACCAAATTCTCGAACCAGCCTTAAACCCCGCGTCCTCTGGTTCCTCCCGACATTTTTGCCATTCACATATTACTCTACTATTAATCACACATCTGAAACCACTRTCGCATTACTAAGTAACCAAAGGCTTAACTCCACTCTAGCTTCTCCTTTGACACAATCTCATATTATAATTCCATAAGATTTCCGCCAATTTACAGCTCATTCCGAGCTCGTTTACCCAACCAACCCAATACAACTCATTACACTTTATCATCCCATAAAACTGCACTTAACATACTTRGAAAGACGTGAATATTTAACAAACTAACCGTCCGTTCGAGAATCCTACYGTTGATTCTGAATTCAATACTTTCATGAACTGATTCACAAAATTACAGCTCGATCGGTTCACTTGTGATCTTCCAAATGAACCTTTGAAGTTCTGCCCCGAAACAGTTTCTGGACCAACTTGCAATGCAATTTTCGGTTTGCAATTAACTTTAATTTGCAATCTGTTAACTTCAGTAGCTTCTTTGCATCAAGATCTATCCAAAGACATCTTATTTAAAATCTATCTCTCTCTGGTTCGCCGGAAAATGGACACGAAAATGTCCTACTCACTACTGTTGAATTCTGGATTTTCAGATAATATGAACTGCTGATTCTTGCACAACAAGAAAACCTTACCACGCCCATAGTATAACTCCGATGGAGATGGTTGAAAATTTCATGGTTTCACTGACATGTCCTTTGTCATAACTCACCATCACCGTGACCATACATGCTCTTATGTGATCAGAATTGTCCTCCATAAACTGCAACATAGAGCTGGAATAGATCCAATATTACTTAGAAATATTCTAAGTTCTGAAACAGTGATATTTGCTCAACTTTGAGATCAATTTCCGGTCATAATATACCTCCAGTTTGAGATTGGAAAAGTGATTCAGAATGTAGAGAACGAGATCTTTCCATAGATATTAAGAACGATGATTAACACTTTCAGACCGGACCATAAGAGGCTTCCCAAAACCCCATGTCGGATCCGTTCCTCCTCCTTTCCTCTTTCCCACTTCGATCAGTTCATCCTCTGTCGTTGCGTCTCTGTCCTCCGAAATCGCGTCACCACCACAACCTCACCGTGGTTTCACGCTACCATCATCTCCACCGTCGCGACTCCGTCAAATAACCTCTTCCTGTGGCTTTCTTGTCTTCTCCACTTCTCTTATTTTCTTGCCTCGACAACTCTCATTTCCCTAATCACCTGATTCCTCTTCATCTGATCATTCCCATAAGACTTCTATGTAACTCCACTTCTCATAGCTTAATTACAGCGTCGTGTACTTCCCCAATATTCCATTGTCGAAGCTTGTGAGGCTCAACTCTTCTCTTGATGGCTCACTTTCGAAACTCCAACACTTATCAATTCAAAACTCACACGGGGTGTAGTTTTGACACTGAACAACTATTGAGATAGAACCTTCTAATAAAAATAGACCGACACAATTTATTTAAAATAAACAAGCAAGCGCAAATAACCTAGAACTATTCAATCAGCCTACTATAACTTACAAAGAAACAACACAACTCTAGCGCGAGACCRTAGAAACCCAAAGATCTTTTCCCCATAAAATATTTTCTAAATTCTTTTAAAGTTTCCGGAAACATTTT